AAAATCATAAGCGAAAGTACGGTGAGGGGAAAAAAAGAAAGGTAAGGGCGTGTGGGCGGGGGGTGTTCTACTATAAACAAAACAGGTGGTTAGAGGCTACACTCCCTGACCCACTGGCACTGAAACCAGGAAACTTTTCCCCAAGGTCAAACACAATAGCACCTCGCAGACGTCTGTCTAAGCAGATGCTGTTATAGTACAAAATAGCGGGACCAAGCAGCACAGAAATTCACCACATGTGTAAGCGGTTCGTGCTTCGAGTAAAAACTTAAGCATGACAGCATCGAGTCGAGCGTATGACAGGATCGAATCCACCGCAGGACAGGATCGAATCGACAGCATGACAGGATCGAATCGAGGCATATTATTCGATTCCTGTATTAGCGTGAGAATAGCAATACTATCAGGACGTGGTTTGGCGGCCAATAGCAAGCGTTAGAAGAACAATACTATCAGAAACACAACTTCCACACGATATTTAAATTATCAAAGTTTTGACGCTGATTTAATATTTTTTAACATGAATGTTAGACCCCTTAAATCGTCCGACCTCAACCAAAGCTAGTAATTCTTGTGAATTTCTTTTCTTTTATTATTTTTGTTTATTCTAACTTAAAACACTAAAAAATATATAAGGATTTTTAAAAAAAATTTTAATCCAACTGTTTCCTTATTTATTTAAACGTCCTTTTTTTTTAAACTATAAAAAATATAAAAGCTTTTTAAAAACTTTCTAAACCAACGGTTTCCTTATTTTTTCAAACGGTCAAATTTTTTTTTAAAGTTTCATATCAGCCGGCACTTGACCTGTCATTAACCTCATTCAACGTGGTTAAAAAAAAAATTAGCATTCGTGTTGTAAGTCTCGCCTCACGTTTTAAAATATACATGATAAGTACAGCTCAACAGCAAATACATTTGTTTCCTTTTTGTAACGGATTTGTTGTTGTTTTATTTCGAAATAAAAACAACAGTTACAAAAATTTGTTTTTAATCTATAGCAAGGGTGCTTGGGGACTGCGAATACAATTTGTAATCGTAACTAAGAATACAATTTGTAATCGTAATTATGAATACAATTTGTAATCGTAATTATGAATACAATTTGTAATCGTAACTATAAATACAATTTGTAACCGTAACCATGAATACAATTTTTAATCGTAACGATGAATACAATTGTGTAATCGTAAAGATGAATATAATTGTGTAATCGCATCTCTGGAATTTGCAATTTGATACTTTAAATCCTAAAGCTATCTTTCTTCATTAACGATACCAGCCGTTAGGTTAGTTCGGTACGGTTAACCCCAGTGATCAGTACAGCCTGACCGCACGAAAACATGTCGTCAGACAGGTCAACCCCCCCCCCCCCTCCCCCACCCCGCTTTCTCGGCAACCTAGCGATACATCAATCATATAATTATTGTGATAGTGACGTGGAAATGGCTGGGTGGAATGACGTTGAGAAATGTACAGGCTAAATATAGAACCTCTCGTGGCGTAGGTCATAATCTAGTAAAGTGCTATTGTATTTTATCGAACTGGAAAAAAAAAAATCAGACATTGCCGTTTAGCCAAACATACATTACTATTCAATATTATGCAAATTCCAGTAAAATTAGGTTGTTTTTTTATATAAAAGTAAAAAAAAAATAATTAATGTGATAATAAAGGCGTCTATCCTTGACATTGAGGTGTCATCATCACCCTTCAACCCTCTCCTTGCATACGTCACGTTCGTGAACATAGCATCGCGACCACGTGTCAGGCAGTTCAAGAGACAATGAGAGGAAAATTTTTGACACCAAAATTTGCACGAGTCGGGTGTAAGTAGCTCAAGGTTAACAACTACTCCAACATCCTACGCAAACATATAGACGAATAAATAATACAATATATCGATATAGATCTAGATACGAAATTTTATAGGTCAAAATATATTTTGTTTTCAAGTGTAAAATTTGATCACTAGAACATTGCATTGTGTAGATCTAGATTCTGGATCGAGGCGCGCAAATGTATTAGATTTCCTTAACGTTCTGTAGACTTTTTTTTTTTTACAAAGTGCTAACAGCGTCAAAAATTCGCGGTATGTGTGGGTTTAAATTAGTGACATTGTATTTATTTACCCTCGAGGTCGGTATTTACTTAAAGCCACCGCGGGTGTTGAAATTGTTTTTAAATAAATAAACGTATGGGCGATAACTTCATCTTCCCCCATTTCTCTTTCACCGATACAGTTTAAAAACGACTCCTTTAAAAAAAAAAAAAGAAACCCCCGTTAGACTACTGTTTATGTAAGCGTCCTAAGCGAAAACAAATCACCTCGCGATGTTTAAAACAAATATCTCTGCCCTGTGTATATGATTACCCTTATAACTTATTGCAACCTTCACCCAATAAAAGATCTTTAAAATGACACCACAGACAAGAAAAAAGTTAGATGCAAATATTGTCATTTATTTATGGCCTAGAGCTAGACTAGACCTTAAGGCCTTAACCCACAAATCGGTAAAGTAATATAATATTAATATTAACTAATTGTTCTAACTAAAGTTAAAATAAAAATCTACATAGACAACTAATATAACATAGTATGATGATCAATTAATTAGAATCACTTCTTTTAAAAATTAATATAAATCAGAATCTACTTTGGCATATTAAAAAGAATGTTGTGAATATAAGGTAGAAGATTGTGAAGACAGCATATTTTACAAGAAAACAATCCTCAAAAACTTGGTGTAGTTTTAAAAAAAAAAAAATATTTTGTTATCACACGGATGTTCTAGTACAGTTTTATTGCAACGGGTAAACCCAGTACAGCGGATAGGCCGACCTAACTCGTTCACGGGCTAACATGCAAGTGGGACTTAGTATTTTACAGAACGGTATGACAACAGGTGTGTTCATTTCAGGTAGCAATCAGGGATGTGTATGTGTGTACGTGTGTGGGGGTGTTACGGAGCGGGGCGACCTGGGTGTAATTTATTTTTTGAATGTAACTTAGCAGTAGAGTTTTATAGAAGTAACGAAAACGCTACCTCGTGGCGTATGGCTAGTATTCATAATGCTATGGGCTATGTTTGAAACTATTGTAATTTTAATAAGAGGAGAGGAGTGTTTGGATAGGTGTACCTATAAAATTGTCTAATGGTGAGGCACATAGAACACCTTATTTGTGAGGTACAGGAAATATCTCAGTGGTGAGGTAGGCTACATAATACACCTCATGGTGAGATACATTAAACACCTCAGCGTTCAGGTAGGCTACATCAAACACCTCAGTGGTGAGTTAATAAAGTTACACAGTGATGAGGTACCTTAAACACCTCAGCATTCAGGAAGCTACATTAAACACCTCAGTGGTGAGGTACATAAAACACCTCAGTGGTGAGGTAACATTTAGAAACATGATCCACATCAGAACATGGTAGGTACCGTAGCTCCCAGTTCCCACCCCCTCAGACTATTGTAGGTACCGTAGTCCCCAGTTCCCATAGGCTTTATGCTTTGATTACGGTAACCTGTGCATCTAGGCTTTGTGTTTTGTTCTTTGATCCTATAGCCACGTGCGGCAGTGGAAATATTGCGCGTCTTATTTCAACGGCGCTGTATGAATATATAGCTATGGTCCGTCTACAAATTCGCATTTTTAAAGATTATTTTATTTTGTTGTTGCTAGCTGTCTAACATTTTTTTTTTAAAAGTTGTAATATTTTTTTAAATAATTAATGTAAGCTGATATGTATAAGTGTGTATATAATAATAATAGATTATACATTGTTCCGGCGTATTTGTAATGGCAATTGGAAATGATTATAAATTTGTAAGAAGCAACTAACTGAACTCAATACCAATCGATATCGACGGTTAAAAATCGCACCGAAGTTATTTTTTTAAGTGTTTATCACACACACACACACACAAGAAAGCTAAACTCTTTAAGACGAGGATAAGAATTTTTTTTTCTTGTAAGGACTTTGAACGCTACCATGATGAAACTGATATAGTCTGGTCTAAATCTAGTCTAGTTTATACTTTATGATGAAACCAGCCTTGAAATTACATAAATTGACTTATTAATAATTAACGTGATCAGATTAAAAGATTAGTGAAGGGGTTGGATAATGACAGAAAAATTTAGATCACGCGCGTAAAGGTTAATGGATCTAATCTAGATCTAGATTCTAGATCTAGATCAGGTCTAGATCTAGATCTATACATTATACACAAGTTCATTGAATTTTTTAAAATTGATTTTCTCGTTAAAACACAAAATAGTTTGGTACGTCTTTTAGTGTAAAGACTTATTGAGTCTATTTATTGCAGCGTACTGATTTATCTGATTTTAGTTCAAAGACAAGATTTGTTATAGTTTAAGTTATAGTGTAAGATCAGAAAAATAATGTCTTTTAAAAAAATCGATTAATTGTTTATTGTAGGCCTACATAAGTCACTTAACTGTTATAGTCTTTATAGACCTATTAATATTAATAACATAATATACTTTGAAGTAGATCTAGATCTATATAGATTTTATATCTGATTATAGATCCTAGATATCTACAACTACAACACACTACATTTCTAGATCTAGTCTAGATCTAGATATACATCTAGATCTAAAAATCTAGTACCTAGGGTTATCAGTAGGTGTTTTAAGTGTTAAGTAGGTGACAGTTCGCAGACAAAAAATGGCGCAGCTTAAATCTACCCTAGAATCTAAATCTAGATCAACTAGATCTATTCACTGTACCAGTGTCTGTCGTCTACAGTGTTCAGCTGCGCAATGTGACAGTTCAAACACTGCGCTGATATCAGGGTAAACATTAGTCACATGTGGGATAGACGTGTACTGGGTACAAGTGTGTTGTGTGTTGGTGTGTTACGGGCGAGCCAAGTGTGTGGTTTATTTTTTTTTTAAACTAGATCTTAATCTTGATCCAATTTTTTTAGAAACTTAAAAGTTAAGTGACTTCTGATGTGTGACTTACCTTTTCCATCGCTGTATCCTTTGACTTCCACTGAATGATTGATCAGCGCTGCTCGACTTATCCATACGAAACAAATCAGAAAATTAAATCCAAGAAAGTACACTGATATTTTCGCCATGTTCAGACACGAAAACTCACAAAAACACCAGTCACAATAGTCTAGATCCCTCTTTAATTCAAGTCGAACTCAGTCATTTTAACAGTCCCCTGATGTTTTTTTTTATTCTTCGCTAAGAGAAACGCGAATATACTGACTGAAGCAGGTAGCAGACGTAAGGTCTCTGGGTGATCGCGCGAAAACTCGGCGAGTCGCTCATTGGTCGACGCGAACTTTTCTACGTCCTGTTTCAGAAGAACTATGGTGCACCGTATGCGTCACAATTTATATTTTGTAGTGTTAAAGCGATGTAGGGGGAAGGGACACAACCATGAAAATATTTTCGTGCTGTTAATAATTTTATTAAAAAGTTAACCGATAAACAATGCTGTATTTAGTAAATTTATTTAGTGTTTTACATGTAGGCAGAGGCGTCGCGAGGGTCTAATGTCTAAATAATATTTTTAAGCATTATGAAAAAAAATAAAAACCTATTTATTTTTAAGTAAAAAAAAAAAATTCCAGCCCCATGCTAATGCGTCTTTGCGTTGACTTGATGCAAAAGTCACTAATAAACACTGTTATCGGCGTGCACACTTTCGAATAGACTACAAACAATGAAACAGGAGTTACTGCACTTTATTACGTCTTGCCGATTTCTCATCAATCTGATCATGCTATTTCCAAAATAAATAAATGTTTCCACTTTTTCAAATTAAAGACAATTTTCTCAAAAGCATAACAAAACAAGATAAAGGTTGTTTTTTTCTTAAGTTAAAAAACGTAATTTAATTTTTATTCCTGTGTAGAATTTTTTTTGTTGCCTTTGTTTTAGTTAATAAAAGATTTTGTTTGAAAAATCTGTGTTATTTTTCATTAAAAATTAAATAAATAATCAAACAGAATAGGTGAACAGTAGATGTGATACCAAATTTAACAGTTGATGCTTTCATACTTTGTCTTGTTACCTGTTACCTGCAGATCCGTAACAGATTTAGTACAATCTTTACATGATTTAGGTCCACTGTTTGTTTTCTTTCTGGGGTCTCTTCTGGGGGGGGGGGGGGTGCACCGAAGCACGTCCACCGCACCATCCCATCCTCACCCCGAACAAAATAGATTGTATATAGTAAATGTATACATTTAACAGTGTTCGACCATCCGGAAAATTTAGTCCACCATCCCCTATCCCCACGATATTTTTAAATGCCCCCCTCCTCCCCCAGAGAAAAAAAAATCTAAAAGAAACACTGTGTGTGTATAGGTAAAAGAGATGAGTTGGAAGAAAGGATTAAAATTCCATAATGCAAAACGATGCAATTTAGAATATAATTAATTCTTCCTGATAGCACTTCTTGTATAACTATAGCAGTCTTAAACGTTTTAGCATGTGTTTTCGAAAAATGTTAATTTTCGTGTGTGTTAAATTAATGTCAACAAATAACACATAGCTCTTTATTTCGTTTATCGCTTAACAGAAATGAATGCTTAGATAGCGTGGAAGATATGTCATAAAGCTTTAAATCATCCATGCCGTACTTTGCTATAGAACTTAGTACAGTAACGTCCCCTGTATTGGTTCACGGTGAAACCAGTCACCACTAAATCGTTAATTTATCTGATTGAGAAAATAAATATCTAGTCTGATTTAGTGTTAAACTCTCCACGTAAGGTAGATGGGGAACGTACAACCCCCCCCCCCCCCGCCCCACACTTACATTTTCCAACTGTAACGGGTACGCTAAAATGTTTGAATGCTCTCTTTTTAAATTTAATTCGCGTTTCATTTGTATCACTAACAAAACCGGGAGTGATCTCCCCTAAACTTTCTCGCTCGAATATTCTCTTTTAACACTTCGGGGGGGGGGGGGGGGGGGGGTGGTGGCAACTCGGGATGATTTAATTACATTTTTAATTACTTCAACTTTAAAAAATATAATAGAATCTCGTAGAAAAAAGAATTGCACTCCAAGTGAACGGCAAACAATATATGTATAATAGTGCGGAATATTAGTACTTTATAAATTCATATTAGTTTTTTGAGAAATCGGAAATAGCGTAAATTACTACATCAATTCAATAGAAATTACTCAAAAATTTGATTCTTTTACGTTTATGTGAATTTGTTTATCTATTTTAAACAGTACTCAAGTTATAAGCTTTTGAAAGATCAAAAAATAGAATAAGTTCCACTTCCGGTTACCGGAAATATTTGAAAAGTTGATACAAAACAACAAATTTGATATACTTGTATACAACATTTCATCAACCTAGCTGTAACTTTACTCAAGTTACCGTGTTCACAAACACACATACTCACACATACGTACACACACACACAGACATACGGACAAAATTGCAAAACTATGTTTTTCCGACTCAGAGAGGTGTAAAACGTCGAGATTTGTGAAAAAAAAATGTGCACGATTACAATACTTCCTCTATATTTTGTATACGAGAAAGTAAAAAGTATATTACATTCGGGTTAATAAATTAAACAAGTATAATTTACACTACGCGACACACACACACACACACACACACTCACACACACAAACACACACAGAGAAATAAGTGGTGGAAGGGAGGATTTGAGGAAATTTACAATAGTGTTAATATTAAAATTACTTAATGTTGAGTTAAAAGTGAGGTAAGATGCGGTAAGAGTAGATGAGTCGAGGTAAGATAAGGAAAACTGAGGTATGCGTGAGGTAGGTTAAGTTAAGATGGTGTAGGTTGAGATTTTGGACAAGATGCTTAGACAATCAAAATATTCCTGCAATAACCTGGCAGGAGGGTGAGCAAACTATCTGCACGTACGGCCTCAGATAACAGATACGTGGTCAATCTATCTCCCACGCACGTATCATAACCGTTAGCTGGCTCCCCATCCCATGAGCCGCTGACCTTATCAGTCAATGATCTCCCGAACATATGTCTGGGATCGATAGTGTAAAAACATTTACAATAAGGAGTGTAAGGTACCTTTTCTTTACAAGACCTGAGGGTGCCTACTTATATTTCAGTTGTTTTTTTTTCTTAATTTATAGGGGGGGGGGGGGGGTCAGGGGAGGGAAAAAGCACCCGCAAAAAGATGATACATTCATTCATATATTTTTTTTTCCTGGTAAGCGTAACTTTCAGATTTAAAGGGACAGTTTTTTTTTCTCGTAGAAGAAATATAGAGGAAGTATAGTAATCGCAAGAAAATGGAAATCAAGATTTTGAAATCTCCTTGAGATGGAATAGCTTAGTTTTGCAATATTGTTCTGTATGTCAGTGTGTTTGTCAGTGCACACGAAACTTAAGTGCCTTTAAAGTGATGTTGAAAAATTTCTTTAAAAAGTATTCTATCGAATCTGAAATTTTCTATCAAATTATGGGCGATTTCCGGTAACCGGAAGTGGTACTTACTCTATTTTCGGTTGTTAAAAATCCAAAAACATGAGTACCATCTAAGTTAGTTGAACGAAATTATATTAAATAAGATCCTGTTCTCTTAATCCGTTCAAAATTTTGAGTGATTTCCGGTGACCGGATGTAGTACTTTAAACCATTTCCGTGTTCTAAAAACAAGACCATTAGAATATCTCTTTTGAAGTGCAATTATTTTTTTCTAGGTAATAATGTTATATTTAAAGTGTGTAGAACAGAGCAGGAAATTGGTGTCTATTTCTGTTTTCTAAAACATCTTAAAAAGATAATTTAAAAAAAAAAATCATGTTCTAATAAACACTTCTCAAAAAAAAAATATAAAAAATAGGATCGCTTTGTTACAAACTTCTATAAATCAATAGCCAAATTGAGACTAATTGAGAGACACCCCCTTTCTTTATATATGAAAATACTAGCCACTTTATGGGGTAGATCACTCGCAATTTATGTAGTATTGCAAACCAGTTGGGGTTTTCATACAAGCGGAAGTGGAGGGGGTGTTACTCAACACGATGCTTGCCACTTTCTTCCCATAAGAGGTAATTTCTTTTTCAGTTTCGGAGAAGGGTTGGGCACATGACCTCCCATGACCTACTTTGAGGACGATCATTGATTTAGTATTATTTTAGACACCATTACTGAAGTAAAAATTATATAAAACTTGAAATCTGACTCTTCTATAAAATCATCAGGTCTGTGCTCGTGTTAAGGATTATCTTTCTTATTCCCCTTTATCCTCTTTATCCCTTATCCTGGTCAGTTTTCTGTGTCAAAGTTCTTTTAAACAAGTACGTAAAGAGTACCCAAAAATATCGATATTAATCGATATCTCGTCTATTGTATTGTACGATTAACCGTTAAGGTAATCGATTCATAGCATTGTTCTCAACTGCAGGTTAAACAATACAATATATTCCGAAATAGTGACTGATTATAAACAAAGTTTACAATTTATGTGTAAATGTTGAACAGAAAATCAATTTGTCCAAATCGTTAACCGTTGGATATGTCATTTTAAAATACAAATGAAATGGGTTTGAACTATTCCAATTTATCATCATCATCATCACCATCATTAGTTCACGTTCCTGCACATGACATATGGGGAAGATGAAGTAAAGTTCTTCTGATTCAGAGACCTCGGCATATTATGTAAAGTGAGGTTAGACTTAAGGTAATATAAGAGACATGTGAGTAGTATTCATACATGGTAATCATATATGTGAAATATGGAAATTTTAGATAGTTTGACTTGAGATTGGCCTAAATAAATTAAATGTTGTATGCTATTCTTGGCATGCAGATGAGAGCGACACTTGTTATGAATGTATAACAGTGGATACATATAATGCTTGTATTAACTAAAATAAAAGATTCCATTTTCAAAGTTGCAAACTTGAACTCGGATCGCTGGATTCAGAGTCCAGAGTGCTAACCATTACACGATGGAACCTGCGTCACGGTTAAGCGAGTGTATACACATGTTGTGTCAAATTTAGTCGGAAATAGCATGCGCTTTTCTCGCTTTTTCTGCCCCAAAAAAAGAGTGAATGTACACATAGTTAAAATGAATGTTGAGTCTTTCACATATTTAATTTATCGTCATCGTAATACAACATTAGGCTATTATATTTAATTTCTGATTTAGATTCAAATTGTTTTTCCTTTGCTGCCCACCTTATAATAACGTTTAGAGCATGGCGACTGTTGATTAGAGTATGACAAAGTTGAAGGTAGTCTTACTAGTAAATAAACAATTAAGTTCATCGGATGATAGTTTGTCATTACCATCATTAAATAATTTTTTTTTCATATGCTCTGTTAAAGAAAGAAATGCTAGCAGAGTCAATCATTATTTGACATTGTCTTCCATTTAATTTTTCTAGCCCTCGTACAACTTCACACCTGCTCCGTTTATTTAGAAACAAGACATAGACGATTGCTTTTTCACTTGTCTTCTATTTTCCCTCTCAGTTTACACGGGCTGGGGACCGTCACAGAGTACATAGTACCGTGTGGCCTGATTAAAAATATGGAAGACAGTGTTGGTCATTTACTGTCTCCCCCACTCGTTCATACCTTTGCAACCAGATGTCTCGCAAGATGAAAGAGAGAGAAAAAAAAAACAATATAATTAATAAGCAGAAAAGTATTTAAAGTCATTATTTACTAAAGTGAAGGGTAACAATTCATTTCTATGTTTCTAAATATTTTACCTTGTAATTGCAAAATATAGTGCTAGATAAATCTAATAGCAAAAAAGAATTAAAGTGCAGAAAAGATTAACGGTAAATAAAAAGTGCAAATAAATATTGACTTACATTTTTGTGTGTCTAATTTCAAAACCTCAAGAGTACCTGGATCTTACAAGCAATTACCATAAGCGATATTGACCAATCAAAGTGCATTTATCCATTCCACGTGGAAGTTCATCTCTTTTACTTTCTCCAGCATGGTGATGATATCAATCCTTGCCTCTGGTTCCTGTTGCAGCATGGCCGTCAAAATATACCTGAAAAATACATTTTATTTCTAAATCAAATTAGAGTACATACAAAATAAATTAATTCTCAAAAGTAAAAACTTAATAGCTAATGTAGATCAAATATTTTGCTGTTAACTAAAAACAATGGATTCTACTCATGCAACATGCAAATTTAAAAAAAGAAACAGTCCGAAAGCACGGTAACTATAAATGTGAGGAACATCCGGGGAAATATTCAGCTCATCCAGGTAATTGTATTCTGTCATGGAGTTTGGTTCCACTCGAAACAGCATACACCAGACGACAGCACCAAGTGAGTAGACGTCCAGTTTAAAAGGGTCAATTTTTCCGTTACCGTGCAGTTCTGGTGCCATGAAGGCCGGAGTGCCGCCAATCTTTGCACTGTGGTCTTTGGCTTTTTCTACCACAAAGGAGAGCCCAAAGTCTGCTAGGACTGCGTGTCGCTTATCATCTAAGAAGACGTTGGCTGGTTTGATGTCTGCATGGACGATTCTTTTCTTGTTGAGGTAACGCACAGCACAAGACAGCTGTATCATGTAAAGTGCAAGGTGCTGAGGGGTGAGTTCTGAAAGTCTCTGAGACAGCGTTCCGTTTCTACAGTAAGGCGTGGTTATTGCCCAGTAGTGTGGGCATCGTACGGCCGATATGAGCTTGATGATGTTTGGATGGTCCACTCCCCACATGGCCTTGACCTCCTGCTCATGCAGCTGTTTATTCCTGTCGTCGTCTTGGTTGAGCATTGAGAACATTTTCACTGCCAGCCTGTATTTCCGAGTTTTAGACGTTGCGAGAATAACTTGGCCGCTCATGCCCTTGCCGATGACCGGACCACGCTTCAGTTGAAACCGATCAAAATAATCTTCATCCAAGTCCAGCAGTAAAGCAGTGTGTGGTGCCATCGATTCGGCCATGTCGAAAATTTGAAGACTTGTATATGTTGTTGGGAAAATAAGTTTAAGATTTTTTTAGATCTGTATTAAACTATAGATCGAGTCAGAATGACAGCGATCTCGTAAAACTAACCAGCTAATATAGCCCACACAAGTTACCCAGGTAGCTTCTCCACATTTGCGTTCAATTAGTAATTCACATACGGTTCTGTGATGTACCGACAAAGGACACCGGCGGCAAGGACAACAATGGTCGCTGATCAAAGAAATCATTCGATAAAAAAACATGGGTAGGTAACTCTCATTCACAACTGACCGCAGGTCACGAAAGTCGGCGGCGGCGGCGGCTGGTATGATTGAAGTTCGATCGTTCGAGATCAGGGGGAATAATTCCAACGAAAAAACTGATCGCGCGTTATCGGGCAAGTAAAATTCGCTAATGGTTACATAGAAAGTTTGGAATTTTATTTTACGGTAACACACACTTATTTACAGATTTCTGTTTTTGTGTGTGTGTATATATTTGATTTTTATCAATCCCATTACTTTCATAAACTAATAAATTATTCATCATTCATTGCAGCATATCCAGCACACGGAAAACTTTCAAACTTGGCGGGGAAACATTGCTGAATTTAAAAAAAACAACAAAAAAAAACAACACAATATACATGCAAAAAAAAGTAGGTTCCACCGAGACTTGAACTCGGATCGCTGGATTCAAAGTCCAGAGTGCTAACCATTACACCATGGAACCTATGCTGGCAGCCGTTTGTAAAACAATAAATCGAAACATATTTATGTTCTTAGAAAACTAACATGCAAGTATATATTACGCATAGTTAGGTTAGAATTAGAGTAATATAAGAGACAAGTGAGCAAACGGCATATTCTTATAGGTGAAATGTGAACATTGTAAATAGTTGGACTTTTGCCTAAATTCATATCCACGCGTTTTAAGCTATTCCTATGCATGCAGATGAAAACGACACTTGGCAAGAATATAATACAATGGATAAATATATTCTTGTATTAGCTAAAATAATAGATTTGATCTTAAACAATTCAATCCACAGAAGCAAAGTAAATGAATTTCATTTACATGTAAAAATGTCGAAAAACTAAGGTTCCACCGAGACTTGAACTCGGATCGCTGGATTCAGAGTCCAGAGTGCTAACCATTACACCATGGAACCTGCGTCACGGTTAAGCGGTTGTATACACATGTTGTCTCATATTTAGTCGGAAATAGCATGCGCTTTTCTCGCTTTTTCTGCCCCTGAAACAGAGTGAATGTACACATAGTTAAAATGAATGTTGAGTCATTCACATATTTAATTTATCGTCATCATAATACAACATTAAGCTATTATATTTAATTTATGATTTAGATTCAAATTGTTTTTCCTTTGCTGCCCACCTTATAATAACGTTTAGAGCAAGGCGACTGTTTATTAGAGTATGACAAAGTTGAAGGTAGTCTTACTAGTAAATAAACAATTAGGTTCATCGGATGATAGTTTGTCATTACCATCATAAAATAACAACATTTTTTTCATATGCTCTGTTAAAGAAAGAAATGCTAGCAGAGTCAATTATTATTTGACATTGTTTTCCATTTAATTTTTCTAGCCCTCGTACAACTTCACACCTGCTCCGTTTATTTAGAAACAAGACATAGACGACTGCTTTTTCACTTGTCTTCTATTTTCCCTCTCAGTTTACACGGGCTGGGGACCGTCACAGAGTACATAGTACCGTGTGGCCTGATTAAAAATTTGGAAGACAGTGTTGGTCATTTACTGTCTCCCCCACTCGTTCATACCTTTGCAACCAGATGTCTCGCAAGATGAAAGAGAGAGAAAAAAAAACCAATATAATTAATAAGCAGAAAAGTATTTAAAGTCATTATTTACTAAAGTGAAGGGTAACAATTCATTTCTATGTTTCTAAATATTTTACCTTGTAATTGCAAAATATAGTGCTAGATAAATCTAATAGCAAAAAAGAATTAAAGTGCAGAAAAGATTAACGGTAAATAAAAAGTGCAAATAAATATTGACTTACATTTTTGTGTGTCTAATTTCAAAACCTCAAGAGTACCTGGATCTTACAAGCCATTACCATAAGCGATATTGACCAATCAAAGTGCATTTATCCATTCCACGTGGAAGTTCATCTCTTTTACTTTCTCCAGCATGGTGATGATATCAATCCTTGCCTTTGGTTCCTGTTGCAGCATGGCCGTCAAAATATACCTGAAAAATACATTTTGTTTCTAAATCAAATTAGAGTACATACAAAATAAATTAATTCTCAAAAGTAAAAAATTAATAGCTAATGTAGATCAAATATTTTGCTGTTAACTAAATCAATGGATTATACTCATGCAACATGCACATTAAAAAAAACACAGTCACAAAGCACGGTACCTATAAATGTGAGGAACATCCGGGGAAATATTCAGCTCATCCAGGTAATTGTATTCTGTCATGGAGTTTGGTTCCACTCGAAACAGCATACACCAGACGACAGCACCAAGTGAGTAGACGTCCAGTTTGAAAGGGTCAATTTTTTCGTTACCGTACAGTTCTGGTGCCATGAAGGCCGGAGTGCCGCCAATCTTTGCACTGTGGTCTTTGGCTTTTTCTACCACAAAGGAGAGCCCATAATACAACTGTCTTGCGCTGTGCGTTACCTCAACAAGAAAAGAATCGTCCATGCAGACATCAAACCAGCCAACGTCTTCTTAGATGATAAGCGACACGCAGTCCTAGCAGACTTTGGGCTCTCCTTTGTGGTAGAAAAAGCCAAAGACCACAGTGCAAAGATTGGCGGCACACCGGCCTTCATGGCACCAGAACTGCACGGTAACGAAAAAATTAACCCTTTCAAACTGGACGTCTACTCACTTGGTGCTGTCGTCTGGTGTATGCTGTTTCGAGTGGAACCAAACTCCATGACAGAATACAATTACCTGGAGGAGCTGAATATTTCCCCGAATGTTCCTCACATTTATAGGTAGGCTACCGTGCTTTGTGGCTAAGCCCCCCCGAAAAATTTTTACCGCCCCCCCCCCCCCGAACGAAATGAAATTTATATAATTTATATAGAAAATAGATACTTTTAACAGTGTCCGCCCCCCCGAAGAAAGTTTACCGCCCCCCAGAAGATTTCAAGTGCCCCCCTTCGGAGAAAAAAGTCTGGAAGAAACACTGCTAAATATGAGACAACTTGTGTATACAACCGCTTAACCGTGACGCAGGTTCCATGGTGTAATGGTTAGCACTCTGGACTCTGAATCCAGCGATCCGAGTTCAAGTCTCGGTGGAACCTTAGTTTTTCGACATTTTTACATGTCAATGAAATTCATTTACTTTGCTTCTGTGGATTGAATTGTTAAAGATCAAATCTATTATTTTAGCTAATACAAGAAATATATTTATCCATTGTATTATATTCTTGCCAAGTGTCGTTTTCATCTGCATGCATAGGAATAGCTTAAAACGCGTGGATATGAATTTAGGCAAAAGTCCAACTATTTACAATGTTCACATTTCACCTATAAGAGTATGCCATTTGCTCACTTGTCTCTTATATTACTCTAATTCTAACCTAACTATGCGTAATATATACTTGCATGTTAGTTTTCTAAGTACATAAATGTTTACATTTATTGTTTTACAAACGGCTGCCAGCATAGGTTCCATGCAGGGGCGGAACTACAGTGCCGCCAGACCCCGCAATGCGGGGGGGCCCGGGACGTTTAGGGGCCCGCAGCCGACCAAAATCAATTTTTTTACAGTTAAAAAAAATAATCTTCTTGCATTTTTGACTTGATGGTTGTTTTGTAAAAAGAATAGGGCCTACTGAAGCTGAGGTTGGATTATCTTTATTCTATAGACACCATCTCAAGTCCTCTTTCTCCTACAATCAAACACGCTGTTGTCGGCAAAATTCTTTTGAAAATAAATCCATCGCGTGAAAGATACGCAAACGTTCAAACCACTTCCATGACTTATTTCCCTTTTTGAAATAGTCAAATATGTGTGCTCTTAAGCTCCTTTTAATAGATTTGCACTAAACAAATTAAAAAGCAATTACTTCTCTAAATTATTATTTAAAAAAAAAATACATATTAAAGAATGACAAAGCATAAAAAGGAAGTGTATTTAAAACTAATAATATAAATACAAAAAAACATAAAAATAAACATAGGGCGAGAAACCATTACACATACACAGCTTTCATGCTTCATATCATTTCGACCGACTAATTCACAGGAGGTATTATAGCAAACATGTTGAAACAAAGATTTTCAAAACAGACTAATAACAGTCACACAAAACAAAGCAAACACTTGCGAAAATATTAAACACTACCAATCAAACAGCCACAACAAATAAAGCAATCACACTTAATTTAATTAACACGACTAGACAAAGAACAGAAGACGAAAACAGACTAGTAGCAATGGCTATTTATAGATCGACTATATGGCAAATTAGGAATAAAGTCAGATATTTTTTCACAAAATACACGGACATCGAGTTAAAAGAAATATTTCAAGCAAAGCTAAGACATAGACTGGGAACTCTCACTTAACTGAGAAAAAAAAAAAGAAATATACAGGAAATAAATAAATAAAGTATTAATTTTAATTTAGACAGTCTCAAGCCAAACATCACTCGATCAGCCCCCAAGTAAATTAACATTAGAACAGTCTTCTGTTTCCCGGGTTTTAAAATGCACAACCTGAATGGTAGAGATACCCACTTCAACCCCCCCCCCCCCCAACACACACACACACTCCCCCCCCCCCCCCCCCCCCACTCAACCGGACTGGCGGACATTTCAAGGTAGCGTGCCCTCATTGCCAAGGGTCAATTTTATGTCATGGAAAGTTTTGGAATGATAGATCAGTACGTGATTACAGAGACCCTTCTTCCACAGTCGTTTCTATTTCTGTCCATGGGTGGCTACAGTGTGAACTTTTGACTCCGCAGCACACTAAACTAAGCAGTGAAGAGAAACCTAGTTTGCACACCTTATTTTAATCTAGTTCTTATGCCATTATATTTTTTTCCCTTTGATTATTATATATGCAATTGATGTTCATTGTTCATGTCTTTGATGCTGTGTAAATCTATCAAATATATTATTATTACTGATTTAAATGTTTAAAACAATTGAATTAATAAAATAAAAATAAATAAAAAAATCTACCCCCTCCTCTCTCCCCCTCTATCCACTTTTCCCTCAGACATGATAACCCCACAATCCCTTTAACTGTTCCAACGACCCCACCACCCACCGCAACATCAATATCCAGAACTTATTTAAAGTTCTAAATCTTGTCTCTTTCCCCTCATCTTTCACACTGCAACCTTTTGAAAACTCAATGCGACCACTACAACACCCTTTCAACAATTCAACTTAAGTTGTTTCCCTACATAGAAAATGCTTCACTGTCCCATTGACCCTCTCTGAAAAATTTCCTTTCCTCTCCCCACCCAGACTTCTGACACTTTCATTTGACCTTCACCCCTTTTACTGTCATCCTTTGCAATTTTTTTATAATCAAATACATGACATCATGTAAACATTCATTATGTACATTTGCAAAACCTTCCGTTTTCATTTGGTGTTAAAAATCACGTTACAAAATTTGATGTTGATGTACTTGTTTTAATTGCAAATAAAAGTATTAAAAAAAAAAAAAAAAAAAAAAAATAACAGTCACACAAATGACGTGCTGTAACTTGTTTTTACTCTTTAATAAAAACTTAAGTATTTTTAATTATTTTTTTTAAAACTGGAACAAGACCGAAATGAGTATTCTAATCTATGTTGGTATTTTCGTATGTATATATATATATATATATATATATATATATATATATATATATATATATATATATATATATATATATATATATATATATATATATATATATATATATATATATATATAGGGGGGCCCAAAATATTTCTTTGCGGGGTGGCCCTTTTTTTCTAGTTCCGCCACTGGTTCCATGGTGTAATGGTTAGCACTCTGGACTTTGAATCCAGCGATCCGAGTTCAAGTCTCGGTGGAACCAATTTTTTTTACATGTATATTGTGTTGTGTTTTTTTTTAAAAAATTCAGCAATGTTTCCCCGCCAAGTTTGAAAGTTTTCCGTGTGCTGGATATGCTGCAATGAATGATGAATAATTTATTAGTTTATGAAAGTAATGGGATTGATAAAAATCAAATATATACACACACAAAAACAGAAATCTGTAAATAAGTGTGTGTTACCGAAAAATAAAATTCCAAACTTTCTATGTAACCATTAGCGAATTTTACTTTCCCGATAACGCGCGATCAGTTTTTCGTTGGAATTATTCCCCCTGATCTCGAACGATCAAACTTCAATCATACCAGCCGCCGCCGCCGCCTTTCGTGACCTGCGGTCAGTTGTGAATGAGAGTTACCTACCCATGTTTTTTTATCGACTGATTTCTTTGATCAGCGACCATTGTTGTCTTTGCCGCCGGTGTCCTTTGTCGGTACATCACAGAACCGTATGTGAATTATTAATTGAACGCAAATGTGTAGAAGCTACCTGGGTAACTTGTGTGGGCTATATTAGCTGGTCAGTTGTACGAGATCGCTGTCATTCTGACTCGATCTATAGTTTAGTACAGATCTAAAAAATCTTAAACTTATTTTCCCAACTACATATACAACTCTTCAAATTTTCGACATGGCCGAATCGATGGCACCACACACTGCTTTACTGCTGGACTTGGATGAAGATTATTTTGATCGGTTTCAACTGAAGCGTGGTCCGGTCATCGGCAAGGGCATGAGCGGCCAAGTTATTCTCGCCACGTCTAAAACTCGGAAATACAGGCTGGCAGTGAAAATGTTCTCAATGCTCAACCAAGACGACGACAGGAATAAACAGCTGCATGAGCAGGAGGTCAAGGCCATGTGGGGAGTGGACCATCCAAACATCATCAAGCTCATATCGGCCGTACGATGCCCACACTACTGGGCAATAACCACGCCTTACTGTAGAAACGGAACGCTGTCTCAGAGACTTTCAGAACTCACCCCTCAGCACCTGGCACTTTACATGATACAGCTGTCTTGCGCTGTGCGCTACCTCAACAAGAAAAGAATCGTCCATGCAGACATCAAACCAGCCAACGTCTTCTTAGATGATAAGCGACACGCAGTCCTAGCAGACTTTGGGCTCTCCTTTGTGGTAGAAAAAGCCAAAGACCACAGTGCAAAGATTGGCGGCACTCCGGCCTTCATGGCACCAGAACTGCACGGTAACGGAAAAATTGACCCTTTTAAACTTAGTTAGTGATGTCACTTCTCTGGTAGATCCAAAAAAGTTGTCGGTGGGGCAAGTGATTGCCAAATTTGGGAAATTAGTTCCTAAATTTGATGAAACAGATTTGGTCGTTTTCTTTAACTCATTTGAGAGTTTAGCGAAGACATGTGAGTGGCCCGAAACTTCCATTACTGCTTTATTGAGCTCGGTCCTTACTGGGAAAGCTGCAAAAACATACCAGGCACTCTCTCACGACGTTCAAAATAACTATAGTTTGGTCAAGACTGCCATTTTGAAGGCCTACGAACTGACGCCCGAGGCCTATCGGATGAAATTCCGAGCACTCCGCAAGTTACCCACTCAATCATATGTGGAATTTCTCTTTGAAAAGGAGAAAATATTCTCAAGGTGGCTACACTCTGAGGAAGTTTCTGAGTTTGAGAAGCTCAGGTCACTTATCCTAAGGGAAGAATTCCTAACGTCCCTGCCTGAAGAGATACGACTACGCATACTGGATAACAAGATAACTGACATCCAGAAGGCTGCTGAGTCGGCTGACACATATATGTTGGTGCATAAGAAACCACCAGTGTCAGGAAACCACCTCAACCCCGTGCTTCCCCTTTTTGGCAGCAATCCTCCTGTTGGCCAACACGTGAAGGCATTACAGTCCAGAGAGAGACCAAGATCAACTCTCAATCGACGAGCAGTATGCCAGTTCTGCAAAAGGCCTGGTCATCTTGTCAAGGACTGTTACAAACGTCGTCAATATAACAGAGAGGTGGTGCGTACTTCTGCGCACTATGCTCTATCCCCTCAAGCAGCCAGTTCAACTATGAACTCTAGAATTCAAAAGGACTCTAACCCTAAGTGTCCGCAAGAAGGTAGTCAAATCTCCACACATTATGTGCAGTCACATTTTGACTGTTCTCGCCACCATCCAGTTTCTTCCGAGTCTACTGATCTCGAGGGATCGAGAAAAGTTGACTTTTCATCTTTCATTGCCGAAGCCATCATTAGCAAACCAGGTGATCCGTTGTCTCAGAAGAATATCACCGTCCTAAGAGACACAGGAGCGTCACAATCACTCCTTTTGAAAAGTTCAATGGACATTACACCAGAGACGAACACCGGAAATATTTCCATTATCCAGGGAGTGGGGACAAAATCTACTGTCGTCCCTCTACACAAGTTTGCCCTGAAACATCATCTCGTCGAAGGTGAAGTCATTTTAGGTGTGATAGATAGTATTCCTGTCCCAGGAGTACACCTACTTCTAGGGAATGACCTTGCGGGAAGCAAATTATACCCCTGTACGGTTTCAGACCCTTTGTCAACAGTTCCAGATAATGATAATGAACTGTATCCTGCATGTGTGGTGACAAGGAGCCAGACCAAACAATTGGCTGACACAACGTCTGAACCACACCTACAATCATCGTCAAGAAATTCGACTCCCAAGCTGGAGTCTATGCTTCCAGAGAACACTAGCCTGGGCTTACCCCTGAGGATATCTCAGGAAGACATCATTAAAGCTCAACAAGTCGACGCGGAACTCAAAGCAATGGTCGAAAAATCTCTATCATCTGACGATGGGGAATATTTCTCCGAGAACGGCCTCTTCTTTCGTCGCTCTATACCAGTGAATGCCTCACCAGCCGAACCATGGTTGGGTAAAAACCAGCTGTGGGTCCCTCCACCTTATCGGCATGAAATACTTAAACTGGCACATGACCATCCAATGTCAGCGCACCCAGGAGTCACTAAAACGACGGCGAAGATCAAAGAACTGTTCTTTTGGCCCAAAATGAGAAATGATGTGTCGCGTTACTGTAAAAGTTGCACGAACTGTCAGTTGGCCGGAAAGCCAAACCAGAAAATTCCTAAGGCCCCTTTGAGTCCGATTCCTGTATTAGAAGAACCCTTTTCTAAAATCGTCATGGACTGTGTAGGTCCCTTGCCTAAAACCAAGGCGGGCAACGAGTACCTACTTACCTTTATGTGTTCAAGTACCCGTTTTCCCGAGGCGTTCCCCTTACGGAACATTAAGGCAAAGACTGTAGTCAGAGCCATGACCCGGTTCTTCACTACCTTTGGATTACCTAGAATTGTTCAAACAGATCAAGGCAGCAACTTCACCAGTCACCATTTTCAGGAAGCACTAGCCAAGCTAGGCGTTACCCACATCACCAGCTCAGCCTACCACCCCCAGTCTCAAGGCGTACTTGAGAGGTTCCACCAAACCCTCAAAACCATGCTAAGAACATTCGCTAAAAGTAACACCCAATGGGACGAGACTGTTCCTTGGATTATTTTCGCTGCGAGGGACTGTGTCCAGGACTCTTTAGGCTACTCTCCTTTTCAACTTGTGTTTGGACATTCTGTCCGTGGTCCCCTGAAGCTGATCCACGAACGTTGGACAGGTACCGGCGATCATCCTGTGGAAAACTTTGACGATTTTCACGTTCGACTGAAAGCCGTGTGCGAAATGGCTCACAAGAACTTAAGAAAGGCCCAAGTGAGAATGAAAGGACTGTATGATAAGAGTTCTCGTAAACGAACATTCAATCCAGGCGACAAAGTTCTTGTGCTAGTGCCTAATCTGAACAATGCGTTATCCTTGAGATATTGTGGACCCTTTACTGTGCATTCAAAATTAAGTGATTTGAACTATGTTGTCAATACGCCCGACAGAAGAAAGAAACAGACAGTGTATCATGTTAACTCACTGAAAAAGTATTATGATAATTGTAACAATTTTCATTCCACAGCTAAAATTACTTTACCTGTATGTTCAAATGTTTCTGATGATGTGATACATGATAAATTGAAACCCCCAAAATTGGTAAATTCTTCCTTTTTAGATAATTTGAATGTCCACCTTATGCATTTGTCCACAGAGGAAAGCCAGAGATTGTCTCAGTTATTTGAGACATTTCCCTCTATTTTTGGGGATGTCCCCAAAGAAGCGAAGGTACCACCTCATGATGTAGACGTAGGTGACGCAAAACCCATCAAACAACACCCCTATAGAGTTAACCCGGAAAAAGCTGTTTTGATAAAAGATGAAATTGATTATATGCTCAAGAATGATATCATTGAGCCCAGTTTCAGCAACTGGAGTTCCCCATGTCTCCTAGTCCCGAAAGACGGTGGATCTTTCAGGTTTGTGACCGACTTTAGGAAGGTAAATGCGCTCACCAAAGCTGATTCCTATCCATTACCTCGAATAGAAGACGTTATTGATAAAGTTGGTCAAGCTAAGATAATTTCCAAAATTGATTTACTTTCAGGATACTGGCAAATCCCATTATCTGACCGTGCAAAAGAAATATCTGCTTTTGTAACCCCTAATGGTTTTTATAGATACAAACGTATGCCCTTTGGTATGCGAAATGCTGGTCAAACTTTCCAGAGGGTCATTAACTCTGTCATTGCTGACATAGACCAATGTGAGGCCTACATAGATGATATAGTTGTATTTTCTAATACTTTTGAAGAACATATTGTTCAGTTGACTAACCTTTTTAGAAAATTGTCTGAAGTGAATTTTACTGTAAACTTGCATAAAAGTGATTTCTGTAAAGGTTCAATTACCTATTTGGGTTATCAAGTGGGAACGAACCAAGTTCGGCCCATTGAAGCTAAAGTAGATGCTATTGTAAAGTTGCCGCCTCCCAAAAATTGTAAAGAAATCAAAAAGTTCCTTGGGATGGCTGGTTACTATAGGCGGTTCTGTCAAAACTTTTCAGCTATTGCTGAACCTCTTACTGCATTATTGAAAAAGGGTGTTGAGTTTGAATGGTCAAATAAATGTCAAGAAGCTTTTTTAACCATTAAGTCATTTTTATCTAATGCTCCTGTTATGGCTGCCCCAGATTTCAGCAAGCCCTTTAAACTTGCCATTGATGCTAGCAACTTAGCCATTGGCTAAGTCCTATTTCAAGAAGACAACATGGGAATTGACCATCCCATTGCCTTTTTTTCCAGGAAGTTAAATGAGAACCAAAAGAATTACTCTACTATTGAAAAAGAAGCTTTAGCTTTGGTTTTGTCATTACAACATTTTGAAGTCTATGTCTCTTCTTCAACCAATCCAGTCAGAGTGTTTTCTGACCATGATCCCCTGAAATTTACCTCTAAGTTAGGACAGACAAATCAAAGAATATTGAGATGGTGTTTATATTTCCAAAATTTTAATCTGGAAATTTCACACATTAAGGGTAGTGATAATGTTGTGGCTGATTATTTGTCAAGGATGTAAAATCTTGCTGCACACATTGATCATGTGACATGTTTTGTGGTTCATTAAGACCATACACAAGTGTTGTGTTTTCACATGAAAATGAGTGGTATGAGTTTGAATTTTTCAAAATTCCAATCCTGTTGAATATTTTGTTTATTTTCAGGTGAACCTTAATTAAAGGTGGTTTTTGATTATATGTAATCTTTTATAATAATATGTCTCATATGACTCAGTTGATATTGTAGCTAGTCTTTGAAATAAAGGTCTTACCCTGGCGGGTTTACCACTTTTAATATCCATATGGAAAAAATTGTAATACCCCTTTCTGAGGGATTTTGATGTATAATTACTTTTTGAAGGGCTACTCCCCTTTCACCAATTGTAAAAGTTTGAGTTACTTCCCTTTTATGTTCAGGGATATTTTCATCTGCATATTACCCCGAAAAAAGAATCCGGGGACGTTCACCACTTTAGTAAATAATGACTTTAAATACTTTTCTGCTTATTAATTATATTGTTTTTTTTTCTCTCTTTCATCTTGCGAGACACCTGGTTGCAAAGGCATGAACGAGTGGGGGAGACAGTAAATGACCAACACTGTCTTCCATATTTTTAATCAGGCCACACGGTACTATGTACTCTGTGACGGTCCCCAGCCCGTGTAAACTGAGAGGGAAAATAGAAGACAAGTGAAAAAGCAATCGTCTATGTCTTGTTTCTAAATAAACGGAGCAGGTGTGAAGTTGTACGAGGGCTAGAAAAATTAAATGGAAAACAATGTCAA